TTTTGTTAATAGAAATCAAATATGGTTAACTTAACAAATCACCTCACATTGTTGGTATTCTTATTTTGTTCTTCCTTATCAGCATAGAATGCTAAGGTATGTTGTTCAATTTTTGTGCCCAAAACAATTGAAATACATTACAGGGTTTTATTCCTGAAATGTTTGTGTAAATCTACAGTATGTGTATGTATAGTTTGCTGGAGTTTAACACAATATCACAGTTATGATGTAAAATATAGTGTTATCAAGTTGTGTCATCATTTGTCTTGTTTCTTTTTGGTGCGAATTAAGATGTCCATGTGATAGCTTGCCTTAGAAGTATAAATCACAGAGCAGAAAACTTGCAAGCCATTAATGACAAGTGAGAAACTGCAATAAATGAATGGAATAATAAGCAAGCCATATAATTTCTGGTACTTTTGCAGTTTGATGTTTTGTTCTCTGATGGAGTATATTTACTTTTTTATATTAAAAGGCTAATTCACTGAATTCAGTATTTAAAACATTTTACTGAGGTAGTGCAGGTGACTTGGAATGTTAAAAAGATAAAAATGTTGACAAGAATCTAATTGCCAGATGTTTTGGTGATATAATGAAATTCATCCGTCCATCTATTTTCTAACCACTTCATCCAGTTCAGGGTCAGAGGGGAGCTGGTCCCTATGCCAGTAAGCCAATGGGAACAAGGTGGGATACATCCTGGTCAGGATGCCATGCAATGCAGATGCAATGCTAACCACTATACCTTCGTGCTGCCCATATAATCTCATCATCATTTTAAGGATTACAACTTGATTTAAACAACAAAATTAACTGTAACAAAAAAGCCCATATGTGATGTAATGCTTCCTTTTCCCAGAATTGCAAACTACTAATTAAGAGAAATCTGACCAATTTTTAGTACAGTCAGTACCGCCTCTATGTGCATCAGGCAGAATCGCTGTGCTTCTGCAGAAACCAAGAACTGTTTTCTCAATAAAACTTTCTAACATTTTTTCCAAACTTATTTAGCGACTCACTTGGCAAAGATAAACATCCCAGCTGAGTTAAAGTTTGCAAAGCTTATGTTGCTATAATACTGTATATTATGAAGTTGAAGTGGCCCAAGCCAAGGTGTCAAGTTCTACTTAATTCCAGAAGTTCAGATGGCTTTGGTTTTAAAAGTGTTTAGTTTAGCTAACTCTAAAGTGTTTGTTATCATCCCTGATATTTTATTTTGTATAGTAAGAGCTAAATTTGTTTAATATTCATGCTTTCCAGTTTGACTCTATATTACAAAAAAATGTACAAAATTTTATTTGATGTATAACCTTAAATCTCTTTAGATATTAAGAAAAACTGTGATAACATTAGAATTCATAATGTTACAGTATGTCACAGTAGTTGCTCAAAATTACTGCATATTTAAAATATTCTAAAATAAACCTACATGTAGCTAACCAATTTTATAAATTTATAAGAAATGGGTAACATGCAATATAGCTTGATCTTGTTATATCTCAGCAATTAAATAGGGATAGGCTCTTGGAAAACAGAATTTGTACTGTGCATGGTGTTAGTATTAACCAGACTTTCAAAGCAATGCCCCAGTATGGTGATCACTGTGCTATAGAAGTTGTTATTGTGTTAGTTGAAGTTCTGATTGTTTGGTCTTTACAGATCACATGGCACTTATCAAAAGAACAGCTTAGCTAACCCTGACTATATTCTAGGCTCGGTTTGCTTTTAAAATTAAAAAGAATCTATGAAAATGCTAACAAACTGAAATATAGGGGACAATTTTACAATTTTTTAAAGCGAAGAGCATATGGTGAATTTTAGTTTTATGTTGTTGAATGTACACTGAACAATTCATAAACTACTGTATTTTATTACATAAAACTGGTGATGGTGCTATCTGAACTTAAAATACTAAAATATTTTGAATTGATTAAAATGTATTTTTCAATGAGTGTGCTTGAATCCCTGAAATATGTAATTCATTGCTAGTTTTATTTCTCTCCCGTTTGCAGTAATTATTCTTTGTCTCAGATCAATGAATGGATTTAATAACATTGAGAAATATTAATGACCTGTGGTATAATTTATTTGCCAAAACAATTTTGCATAAATCTTCTTGTGGCACAGAAAAAACTTGCTGCAGTGCTACTAATACACTTATGAAAGTTTTGAAAGTGTTGTATCTGTTATAAGTTATAAGTAAGTTTCTAAATTAACATTCACGGGACTGCAAGGATTCCTTGGATAACCCACAACTGTAAATAGACTTCCTTTTATTGTTGCACATGGGAAATTTGCTTTGCAGGGCAGTAAAATACATATAGTAACACAACACACAATAATGAATAATTAGAGACATACCTGTATATGTGTGATGATAAAGAATACTAAATATATACGGAAGTAAAATATACAATCAATTGTCCAAATTAAGCAGGCTAATAGCTGTAGGAGTAAAAGATAACTTGGTATCATTGAGTTTGAATCTACAGTAAGTAGTCAAAATCGACACCTGGATGAAAAGACCTGAAATTCACTGTGTAAGGGGTTGTCATGACAAATATAAGTAACAAGTACCCTTTTTTAGTAACTTTTGCTTCACATTCCTCACTTTTCCCTGAACAATGTTACTGCAGCTGATTGGCTTTTTCCAGCTAATATGGGGATTCCAGTATTCCAGTTGCATCCAAACTGTCATTCTCTCGGCCAGATTGGTTAAGGCTAAAACAGTAACTCAAATTGTTTCCTCATCAAAGCAATTTCATAGAAAAAAATGTTTACTGTATAAAAACAACTGGATGGAAAACTGAAATGTGTATATGACACTGCTCTACTCTGAGTATAAACATTATCATAGCCATAAGTCAAATATAAATAAACAAAGCTTAAAAATACTTTCTTCAGTTGTGATGGGTCATACTACTTGTCTGTGCTCATCATCAGGTCTACTTCAATTTGCTGCTATTTTATTGTGGAAATAGAACTGCTCCTGCTATTGATTTAAATGTCTTCAGGATGTATTATTTTACTATTGTTTTTAGCTGTTTTGATACCATTACATTTTATTCTAGTCATGTTTATATTATGCTTCACTGACTCCAAAACTGTCTTTTTGCAAGTTGCAGTGAAGACAATTGTAGAAGGTAGTTATCTTCTTCTTTTATTCCTGCATTGATGGCTGATGTGTAATGCTAGTTCCAAGAATCAGCCTGCTGTGGGCCTCTCTGGCACATCAGCACACATACTATCTGTGATACAGGCTCCAGTGGCACCAAAATGACTCCCTGGAACATCATTATGACAACTGTCTGGAGTGAACTGGGTGGAACATTTCATAATGGTTATCAAGTAGGCACATCCATTCATATTTGTTTTGCCAGCTAGTCCAGAACAGCTCTGGGTGGCTTGACAATAGTGATGGTATCCCTGCATCACTACCTTTAATCTCCCACTAATCTGAACCCAGTATACTTACTTAAGCGTCACTATATTTTTTGTTCTCTCTTTTCTTCCCCATTTGTGAGTCAGATGCAGCTTTCTTATGCCTCAGCCAGAGCAAGATACTGCTTCTTTCTTCTTCCCCTTCCAATATGGACTTTAATACTAAACCTAACTAATAACATTAAATGAAGTGTCTCTGAGAGGTTGAGTCAAGGGCCTTAAATATGTCTGGTAGGGTATTGGCCTCTATAGTAGGATCTCCCAAGGGTCTTTATGGATTGTCTGGCACTATTATTATTGCACACTGGAATAGAGAATTATATTAATTTACTGAAAATTAATTCCTTTTGCCTGACTGCCACAGAATATGTTATAGAAGCACTAAAGATAAATCACAATGAACACATTGATTCAGAAGCAATGTACCTTATTTACAGTGACGTACAATGAAGATGCCATCTAATTTTTATTTTGAAAGATTCAAAAGTTAACATTTATTCTTTAATACTGTTTATTGAAACAAGTTTAACTCACTTACTTGCTTTCACATGATATAAGTTTCTGCAATGGGCTTATGTATTTTTTTTATTGATTCACATTATCAAAAAGAATACTTAAAAAGGTATTTTATGTCTGTTGTATACAGTAGTTATATTATCCTTTTATGTGAAGTTTGAAGACTGCATCCACCCTTTCTAAATGGAGTGTTTTGGTCGAATATACTGAGACATATTTGAAGGGCCAAAGAGTCATCTAGACAGGAAGTAAATGAATGTGCCCTCAAACTAAAATTAAAAATCAACATCAAGTTTGATTATTTGGTGTACTAGAAATATAAAGGTATACTTTAGCATTCTTTGAAAAGATTACTAAATTTTGCTTTGTGTAAAGGGTCTTTAGTTAAACAATGACACTTATTATTTAACTATAACAACAAGAACAATAATTGTAATAATGATAGTCCTTTATTTTAGATAGGCAATGTTATTCTATATTATGTTAAGAGATACCATCAAATAGGTACAAATTACTATGAAAATAAAATGATACATGTATTTCCTTATTACTGCTAGCCATTATATACAGTATTATAATTTTGAATTGGGTTCAAATACTTACAAGAGTAAAATCAATAGCTTTATTAATGGATGAGTATAGCACATTGTGCAAAATGAAAATATTTTATTTAAACTGAGTAATATATTACTTTAATTTTCATTCCAATATAGGCTTGTCTAAATTTGTTGGCTAAATCACATTTCTGATGCATGCATTTGTAGGTTACACACCATGTAATTAACTGTTTCTTTCTTTCGTGATGTTTTTTTAATGATGTACTAGTTGTCAGTGAGTCACTCTTTCCTGAAATAACTGAGTTAAATGAGTTAAATATCCCTATAAGAAAAAAAAACTATTAAAAATGGGCACTGCAAATCCAATTTGGCATATAAATTCACGTAATGCATTGAAGCATTTAATACTGTATATTGATTCTTTGGTTAACTATATTAATCTGCCAAATGCACATAATTCACATTTATTTCCCATTTTAACAATAGGTAATTCAAATTAACTTTGAAGAGTTTGACTTGGAGATTGGATATGACACATTAACCATTGGAGATGGAGGGGAGGTTGGAGACCCCAGAACAATACTACAAGTGTAAGTATGTTTCATAAGTATTGGCAGAGATGATGATCTCTGTGTGTTATATAGATAATAGATCATTTATCATAATTATCCCAAAACGCTCAAATGCATGAATGTATAAACATCTCTATTTTTATCACATTGATCATGCTCCTGTGAAATAAAGAATCAGCAGTAGAAGTTTTCCAAAAATGAAAAGCCAGTGATATAAATTACTAATATACAAAATATACAGTATATTGTCAAGTCTTACAAAATTACACAGACACCTTTTCACTGATTATAAATACAAAGCTGTATTTTAAAATCTGCTGTACTTTTCCTTATTCTGGATATAGGCTGACTGGGAGTTTTGTCCCTGACTTAATTGTAAGCATGACGCATCAGATGTGGCTGCATCTCCAATCAGATGAAAGTGTGGGATCTATCGGTTTCAAGATAAACTATAAAGGTAAATCAATATATATATATATCGTACTTTCGAATTAGTCTTGCATGACATGATGAGTTTGAAGCTTACTCAGTACTTAAAGCAGATTTACATGTGTTTAAATTCGACGTAAAAGTCAGAACTGCGCTTGTTATTGTAATGCATTTGTTTTTGTTTTCAGTTTGTTTGGTTCTTCATTATATTAAACAAAACTAATTTGGTTATTCATTCGGCTACATGTTTGTGCCGTTTTTAAATTTGTGGACAAGTTTCTAAATCTGTGAGCTTGTTTATTATTTACTGGTCAAAGTCAGATTCTACCTTCTCAGCCACACTCATGCTTTTCTTTAGAGTTATTTGTCTTCAGTCATCAAAATTTCCACTGTTTTTCTGTCAAAGTGTCCTTTGTCAAATGACCCTGGATTTATGACATATTTTAAGAGAGTTATCTAATTTTCTTCACAAATGCCTCCTCATAAAGTGTGGCATCTCTTTTGCTTTTTGCAGAAATAAGGCACCATTATGACACAATCAAGCTGTTGGAACTAGACAAGTGAATTTTAACTTGTCAGATAAAAACACTTATTTGTCATTGTCAAATGCTAGTGTTTGCTCTCAAAGTAGTAAAAAAAAAGAAATATGCCATCACAGGTTTCAGGCCCATACATGGGATCATTGTCCCAATAATCATTTTTTCAAATAGTTCTCCACACTGTTTCAATTTACCATCATGTCAAGATTCTCTAGCTTTTGAAGTATAAAAAGCCATCAAAAAGGAGACATCATGATGATCCTGAAAGTGTTTGTCTGGGGATAGATATCTAGTCCCTCTGCAGTGACATTGTCCTGTGAATTCAAAGAGTTTTCAGAATGCCAAGCAGGAATTCAACTGTTAGACTATTCTGTGAAGCTAGAAATGTTATGGGTAATTCAAAGAGTGGCAGTGCCAAACAGTTCAAGTGTAGGTGTTCTAATCATTAATTGTCAGCGTAGATGTGTGCTGATGACAAAGTTAGTTTCTCTTCTGTGTTCACTCACTGTTTTTGTGTATTTTGCAGTTAGCCTTACATGAGACGAAAAAAAATACACTGCTTATTTGTTTGTAGCTGTGGATTTTGTACATTAGAAATGATAAAAAATTCAAATGGCAGATGAAAACAATTGTCTGAAATATGTTTTACCAAGGTGACAAGATGTACTTCTGTTTGTTCCCTTGAATCTTTTAACCATAGAGATGCTCACCAGAAATATTTTAAAATGACCAAGTGCAAACTTCACACTTCTTTCCTACTCTGTGTGAAGCCCAACCATCTGTGCTTGGAACAAAACATTATATGACAGAATGATAATGCTTAGGGCAGTGCAGGTGCATAATATCCATCTGTGTAAGTATAAGATTTTGTTCTGAGAAAAATAAGATATTTCTCCAAAACTGGACTTTTTTTGTTAATAGTGGATATCTGGACACTGTAATTATTGATGGCTACTGTTGAGTCTCCTCTAACTACTTTCGCACAATAGTGTTTATCATGCAAAGTCCTCTCATGAAAACCATTCAAGTGTTTGTGAGGGCAGTCTGACACTTGATTTGTCTCTTTAACCTCAGCTTCGATTCTGCCCAACTAGCCAAATTTGGTGTAATGTTTTAACCTGTAAACCTCATTATTTTGTTTCATTTTATTATCAATAATTAATGCCATTAATTGAGGAATCTCAGTGCTGTTGTATGGTAGCAAAATATGTTTGAAAATGAATATGCACAAGGAATTTAATTTCCCTGTCCTTAGTACAATGTCAAAATGTTGTTTCTTTAATTCAGTATGGTGGGCTGACAAAAGAAATTACATTGGGAATAGAGAAAATCATTAAGAGTCTGATTAAAATAATTCTTCTGCTTTGACCAAAGAAATAAAATGAATTACAGAAATCAGTTACTTTTAGCATTCTATTCTCAGATTAGATAACGTAACAAACCGAAAGTAATACTCTTATCACACTTTGAACCATTGGGTACAGTGCTTTGTCCATTACCACTATAAGGACAATAATTTTTTTTTAAAAAGAAACAGATGTCAAAATGTTTCTGAAATGTCCACCTGTGATATTTCAGCTGCTTAGTTACATGATTCCATATTCATATAACTATCAACTGATGTTAAATCACTACAATATTTATCTTTTTACAATAACAGCAAATGCTGTTCTTAGAAAAGGTTAAAATGTTATAACTTTTTATGAAGTACAGAATATAAGCTTAATAATATTAGTACAAGCACATTTAAACCAGAACCCACTGTACGTTACCATATTAAAGACTATGATGCATAAAATATATGCATAATTAAATGATTTATGATGAAGGTGGAAGGTTGTGTACTTTTGTCCAACTGAGCAATCTTGCTTTTATAAAATATACCGACTTTTTAATGTTTAATGTTTAACATGCTGTAATACACAGTTTAAAGTTATTAAAAGTCTAAAGAGTATACAACTTAAAATCTTAATTGGAAAACAATTGTCCTTAAGCAGTGACTGGGATTCGAAACAGGGCGTTTTCTGGCGACAGCTCAAATGCTGTACATAAGACGTTAAGGTTTATTAGCTCCATCTGGTGGTTTCACAAGGTACTATTATCCTATTTAAAAAAACATGCATTATGAGGCGGTATGTTGTGCAACATCCACCACGTTTTAACGCAGCGTACCTCGTACATTTTGAATGGCTAGATCTGTGTAATACACAAATTTGATTTCACTTGTCATGTCTAATTTCTGTTATTTAGTATATAGTCTTTGTGAATAAGTCCGTATCGTACATACACTATATGTATAGTATATATTTTAAAACATACAGTAAAGAAGATCAGTCTTCTCAATAAAATATTTAAATAATATGGCTTGGTCTTTAAAAAGAGAAAAACCTCCCATTGAAAAGCACTTTATAATATTTCTGATTTACTGTGGCAAAACAAAATCAAATTGTTTTTTTAGGGCTTTGCAGCATGGTGGTTATACCACAATAAAATATATGTTTGACCACCATCATCAGAGGTAAAAACTGAAAATCAAAGCATGAGTAATTAAATTAATTGGATTTTTAAACATTTATTGATTAGGGATCAGTAATATATATATATTTTTTTTTAATACAAGTGTGTTTATACAAAATACACATTCATTTACTAGCTCTTTTCATAAATCTCAAAATGTTGTATGGTATCACACATACACATACTGTTCTTAACGTAATAGAAGTAAAACAAAAGGACAGCAAACAGACGTAGTAAAACCAAAGGTAAAACTACATTTTAAATTAAGTGGTATAGCGAAAAAATAATAATACTGTTTGTGGGTGTTTTTAAAATTCAATAGCCATAGGGCCTGTGATGGATTTACATATTGAACACCACAAGATGCTGCTGCACAAAAGAAGGGTCTGTCACTCGTTGTGTCAAAGCTAGTGTGAATTTCACGTGAAGTTCTGATTTCCAATGGACAGACATTTGTTCTGATGGCTTTTGGAAGTACTTAATTCTGTAGATTGTATATACTGTAGCACCTTAATATATCTCAGTAAACTAAGTATTACAATTTCTAATATTGATGAAACAATGCGCATATCAATTTTTCAGTATCAGATAGGTATCAGATCAAGCAAGGTGGAAGAAAGATCCCCCAGTGATTTACCTACAAGTACTTAAAATGACAAGTAACACCAGGTTCCTAACTTACATCAAGGGTTTGATTTCAGCACAGGCAAAGACAACACTGGAATCACAGTTATTGTGAAGCTGATATTTGGAGCTTAAAAACGTAATCTCTGTCTTGTCACTGTTTGCACTAAGAAAGCTGTTACATCCATAGCAGACAGGAAAGTGGAAAATGCAGAACCACAATGGCACCCTCTGAATTGCTCTGCAAGCAAATCTGAATGTCATCATCATAGTAGTGATAAAACCTCTGTGGCTAAGGATCTGCGCCTGTGACTGGAAGGTTGCCAGTTCAAATCCCACGGCCGGCAGAGGTATCCTACTCCGTTGGGCCCCTGAGCAAGGCCCTTAACCCTAACTGCTCCAGGGGCGCCATACAATGGCTGACCCTGTGCTCTGACCCCAAGCTTCTCTCCCCATCTGTGTGTCTGTGTCTCCATGGAGAAAAGCTGGGGTATGTGAAAAGACTAATTCCTAATGCAAGAAATTGTATAGGGCTAATAAAGAAACATTATTGTAAACATCATCATTTTTGTACAACAAACCCTCTATACCACTCTAAGTGTGACATCAATTTTTAAAAAGATTTTTAGGAATTGGCTCCACACAGTCAAATACGAGTCAAATCAAATGATGGAAGTACCAGTGATAATTTTTTTTTGCAGATAATATTCCATGCGATCCAAGTAGTTTGTCGTTGACAGTATAAAAAAGCTGCACTTACATCGTGAAGAAGGAAATTAAGTGATCTAAAGAGTCAGAAGTCACCAGAAAATCATTAACTACCTTAACATGGGCTATTTCAGGAGTCTCACTCCCGTCTAAACCCCAACTGAAAAGTACGAAAGAGCACATTGAATGCAAGATGTGATTGCAGGTGGGCTCCCACAGCCTTTCTGTGATTTTTTGTGAGAAATGAAAAATTGTAAACAAGACAGTAGTTGTGTGATTACTGGTGGGCCTACTCCAGGTTTTTTGTAAGGTGTGAATGTAAACCTACAGGTTGAACACCAGAGCATTGATATAGTGACTAACAAAGGAGACAAAAAGCAGAGAAGCTAGCTTTGAGTAAGGACATAGGAATAGCAGGTCTTATTTTTGCTAGGAACTCAGGCTTATAGGCAGCATCAGCTCTAAAAAGAAAGAAAACCATGAAAACAGAAGAGCACATTACGGTCATGATTGCAGAAGGTGAGACCTTTAATTGATGGTATTATTGAACAAAAGTTTGAGTGGAGGTTAAGTTCTAATCTTGCAGTTCCACTTCCCTACACAAAAAAGCTATCTAGATTAACATGGTACTGCACGCAAC